TCCCTGTGTCTGGGAGGAGAGCAGGCGTGGAGCACTCTCTGACTCCCTGTGTCTGGGAGGAGAGCAGGCGTGGAGCACCCTCTGACTCCCTGTGTCTGGGAGGAGAGAAGGCGTGGAGCACTCTCTGACTCCCTGTGTCTGGGAGGAGAGCAGGCGTGGAGCACCCTCTGACTCCCTGTGTCTGGGAGGAGAGCAGGCGTGGAGCACTCTGACTCCCTGTGTCTGGGAGGAGAGCAGGCGTGGAGCACCCTCTGACTCCCTGTGTCTGGGAGGAGAGCAGGCGTGGAGCACCCTCTGACTCCCTGTGTCTGGGAGGAGAGCAGGCGTGGAGCACCCTCTGACTCCCTGTGTCTGGGAGGAGAGCAGGCGTGGAGCACTCTCTGACTCCCTGTGTCTGGGAGGAGAGCAGGCGTGGAGCACCCTCTGACTCCCTGTGTCTGGGAGGAGAGCAGGCGTGGAGCACTCTGACTCCCTGTGTCTGGGAGGAGAGCAGGCGTGGAGCACCCTCTGACTCCCTGTGTCTGGGAGGAGAGCAGGCGTGGAGCACCCTCTGACTCCCTGTGTCTGGGAGGAGAGCAGGCGTGGAGCACTCTGACTCCCTGTGTCTGGGAGGAGAGCAGGCGTGGAGCACTCTGACTCCCTGTGTCTGGGAGGAGAGCAGGCGTGGAGCACTCTCTGACTCCCTGTGTCTGGGAGGAGAGCAGGCGTGGAGCACTCTGACTCCCTGTGTCTGGGAGGAGAGCAGGCGTGGAGCACTCTCTGACTCCCTGTGTCTGGGAGGAGAGCAGGCGTGGAGCACTCTGACTCCCTGTGTCTGGGAGGAGAGCAGGCGTGGAGCACCCTCTGACTCCCTGTGTCTGGGAGGAGAGCAGGCGTGGAGCACTCTGACTCCCTGTGTCTGGGAGGAGAGCAGGCGTGGAGCACTCTCTGACTCCCTGTGTCTGGGAGGAGAGCAGGCGTGGAGCACCCTCTGACTCCCTGTGTCTGGGAGGAGAGCAGGCGTGGAGCACTCTCTGACTCCCTGTGTCTGGGAGGAGAGCAGGCGTGGAGCACTCTGACTCCCTGTGTCTGGGAGGAGAGCAGGCGTGGAGCACTCTGACTCCCTGTGTCTGGGAGGAGAGCCGGCGTGGAGCACCCTCTGACTCCCTGTGTCTGGGAGGAGAGCAGGCGTGGAGCACTCTGACTCCCTGTGTCTGGGAGGAGAGCAGGCGTGGAGCACTCTGACTCCCTGTGTCTGGGAGGAGAGCCGGCGTGGAGCACTCTGACTCCCTGTGTCTGGGAGGAGAGCAGGCGTGGAGCACTCTCTGACTCCCTGTGTCTGGGAGGAGAGCAGGCGTGGAGCACTCTGACTCCCTGTGTCTGGGAGGAGAGCAGGCGTGGAGCACTCTCTGACTCCCTGTGTCTGGGAGGAGAGCAGGCGTGGAGCACTCTGACTCCCTGTGTCTGGGAGGAGAGCAGGCGTGGAGCACTCTGACTCCCTGTGTCTGGGAGGAGAGCAGGCGTGGAGCACTCTGACTCCCTGTGTCTGGGAGGAGAGCAGGCGTGGAGCACTCTGACTCCCTGTGTCTGGGAGGAGAGCAGGCGTGGAGCACTCTGACTCCCTGTGTCTGGGAGGAGAGCAGCCGTGGAGCACTCTGACTCCCTGTGTCTGGGAGGAGAGCCGGCGTGGAGCACTCTGACTCCCTGTGTCTGGGAGGAGAGCAGGCGTGGAGCACCCTCTGACTCCCTGTGTCTGGGAGGAGAGCAGGCGTGGAGCACTCTGACTCCCTGTGTCTGGGAGGAAAGAGCAGCTTTTTGGTCGAGGGGCGGTGCCTGTGTTGTTGGCATTTTGAGTCACCAGTATCTACTTACTCTGCGGCGGCGGGCCTTGTGTCAACGTTGCTTGTTCCTAATGCTCAAGGTTATGAACAAGAGGGGGGTGGCAGTTTCGAGCCCCTCAGTCCCATGTGCTGTGGGCTTTCTGCTGAGTGTTGTGGTGGGGGCAGCATTTGCCCACTTTTTGTCATTGGAAGAAAAGGCCTGACTCACTAGTACACTATTTTGAGAAATGACTTCTTCTTCTTCTTCTTCTTCTTCTTTTTTTTTTTTTTTTTGGTGAGGCAGAGAGGACAGTGAGAGAGAGACAGAGAGAAAGGTCTTCCTTCTTTTCCCGTTGGTTCACCCCCCAATGGCTGCTGCGGCTGGAATGCTGTGGCCTGCGCACCGCGCTGATCCGAAGCCAGGAGCCGGGTACTTCTCCTGGTCTCCCATGGGGTGCAGGGCCCAAGCACTTGGGCCATCCTCCACTGCACTCCCGGGCCACAGCAGAGAGCTGGCCTGGAAGAGGGGCAACCGGGACAGAATCCGGCGCCCCGACCGGGACTAGAACCCGGCGTGCAGACATTATTTAGAAATATTTGATTGGGATAGAAATGCGGAGTCAGCGAGTGTTTGCATAGGAAGCAAAGCCATCCTAGGTTTGTCTCGGCTGACCCCTGTGTGACCTGGAAGTCTGAGCTCTGTGAACTGTAACCTGCAGTGACACAGGTCTCAGGTTACACCATCAACATCACAGTTACATTTGTTCCATTTAACTTCTTAAAGATGACTGATTTTGACCCAATACAAGATTTTAAATACGTCTGTCAGTTTGTGAGTTGTTTTTAATCACATTAAAACTAAATGGCAGGCCAGCGCCGCGGTTCACTTGGCTAATCCTCCGCCTGTGGTGCCAGCACCCCGGGTTCTAGTCCTGGTCAGAGCGCCGGATTCTGTCCCGGTTGCTTGTCTTCCAGGCCAGCTCTCTGCTGTGGCCAGGGAGTGCAGTGGAGGATGGCCCAAGTGCTTGGGCCCTGCACCCGCATGGGAGACCAGGAGGAGGCACCTGGCTCCTGGCTTCGGATTGGCGCAGCGCGCTGGCTGTAGTGGCCATTTGGGGGGTGAACCAACGGAAAAAGGAATACCTTTCTCTCTGTCTCTCACTGTCTAACTCTGCCTGTTAGAAAGAAAGAGAGAAAGAAAGAGAGAAAGAAAGAAAGAAAGAGAAAGAAAGAAAGAAAACACTAAATGGCGGGCCAGCACTGTGGCATAGCTGGTTAAGCTGCCTCCTGCAGCGCCGGCACCCTTTGTGGGCACCGATTCAAGCTGCACTTCCTGTCCAGCTCCCTGCTAATGCACCTGGGAAAGCAGCAGAGGATGGCCCAGGGCCTTGGGCCCCTGAACCCATGTGGGAGCCCTGGAAGAAGCTCCTGGCTTTGGCCTGGCCCAGCCCTGGCCATTGCTACCGTTTGAGGAGTGAACCAGCAGGTGGGAGACCTCTCTTTGTCTTTCCCTCTTTCTCTGTAACTCTAGCTTTCAAATAAATAATAACAAAAAACCCTAATTGGCAGTCTGAAGAATTTCAGCTGGACGTACGTTCTGAAGTTTGCCCCTGTTGTGGTCGTCCCCAGATGGTAGCTTTGGTTTGAAGACCCAGAGAAGACTGGCCTGTCTGCCTGTGCGGACGCTCCCGGTAACTGCTCTGTGGGTCCCCGTGGACACAGCCTGGAATGGCACTTGGCCCAGGGACTTCTGGCTGGTGGTGGTGGTGGGGGGAATGCGGGGGTAGTAGGCGGCAGCTACCCCAGTGCCGGCCTCCTAAATAGTAAATATTTTTAAGACGACTCCTGCCTATCAGACACACGTGTTTTCTGTCTGCAGCTGATACCTGTAGTGCCTGAGGACTTCTGCACTGTGGTTGATTTGGTGCAGGCTTACAGTCTAGTTCATGTGTGTTACTGCGGTTTTTATTACAGACTTAGATTTTTTAAAAAAATATTTACTTTATTTGAAAGGCAGTTACAGAGAGGCAGAGGCAGAGAGGGGTGGGGAGGTCTTCCATCTGCTGCTTCACTCAGATGGCTGCAATGGCTGGAGCTGCGCCGATCTGAAGCCAGGAGCCAGGAGCTTTTTCCGGGTCTCCCAGGTGGGTGCAGGGGCCCAAGCACTTGGGCCATCTTCCACTGCTTTCCCAGGCCACAGCAGAGAGCTGGATCAGAAGTGGAGCAGCCGGGACTTGAACTGGCGCCCATGTGGTACACTGGCACTGCAGGCAGCGACTTTACCTGCTTTGCCGCAGCGCCAGCCCCCACAGATGTACCTTTATTAGTTCCATGTTCTTGGAGTTCTTGAAGACCAGGAGGAGGGTCCTTTCAGCATCCAGGATCCTGGGGGAGCTCCTGTCCTGGTACTTGACATTAAAATTGTTTCTGCCAAAAGTGTGAGGCGGTGTTCAGCTTGGGAGTTCGCTCTCTTCCAGTTTTGTGCAGGGTCTGTGGTCTAGCGCTGTCTGTGTCTGCCGCAGCTTTTCTGTCGCTGACGCTCAGGCCTCTGCTTGCTGTTGTCCTGTGTGCTCAGCCCCGCAGAGTTTGTGTTCCCCCGCGTCCTAGTCAGAGGTGTTTTCATTTCTTGCAAGCGCTTTCACTATTTTAAATGTTTTGCAAAAATACACGCCCAGCCTTTTTGTTGTTGTTGCTTTGTAGTGTGGAGTGATTAGGATCTCTGCAGTTTGAAGTAGTTTCAGAAAGCAAAATCCTGTAGTTTCTTCCCTCAGCAGACTCTGCATTGCCAGCTGGGGTCCGGCTCCCAGCCCAGGGTGTGAAACCCCTTTCCCTTGGAGACTGCTTTGCTGGCCGTCAGGGACTGTGCGGGCCGTGCCGGCGTGTGTGGCCCGACGGGATCACTCGGTGTCGCCTGTACTGCTCACTGCAGGAGAAGGCCCTGCTGGGTTTTAGGTGAGAGGTGGACTTTGAGAGGCTGCTGAGCAGTGGCTGCGGCGTGTGGGTCTCCTGTCGGACCCTCCCTGCCTTTGTCTCTAGGTTGTGTGGGTGAGTCTGCGGAAGGTGACGTCATGGCCAGCGTTCCCTGGTCTTCTCCGAAGTGTTAGGAGACCGCCCGATGTGCTGGGCCTGGTGGGAGACGTGCGCAGGGTGAAAGGCGGGCTGGGCAGGCCCACATCTCATCCCGTTTCCTTTGTGTTGCAGGCTCATGCTGATGTCCCTGTACAACGTGAGCATCAACCTGAAAGGCCTGAAGTACATCAGCGAGAGCCCGGGATTCATCCCCTTGCTGTGGTGGCTTCTGGGCGGTAAGGGGGCCTGGGCGCACTGCCTCTGTGCGGCTCGTGCTGCCTGTTCGCCACCGCTGAGGAGTGGTAAAGGGTTGGACATGAGGAGTGCTTGCCGCAGGTGATAGTTCCTAACAGTCGGAAGCTCGTGGTAGTTTCTGAAGTGTGGCTTCCAGTTGAGTTACAGTTCACCAGTGAGTCCCCGCCACGGCGAACAGCTGGTGGGCAGCATCTGCCTGTTCCTTCTCTGAACACCACGTGGTCAGGCGCGTGCTGGGGGGTGGCTCTGAAGAGCAGGCAGGGGGCCCAAGCCTGAAGATGTGGGTGAGAAGTCAGGGAGACGGTGCAGCTCTGAAGTGCTGTGCGCGTGTGCAGCCCCTGCTGGCAGCTCCTCTGTCTCTCCCTCTGACCCGTGCCACAGCTTAACCTCAAGTTTTGTCTCAGTTTCACCCTGGTGTTTTTTTTTTTTTTTTTTTTGACAGATAGAGTTAGGCAGTGAGAGACACAGATAGAAAGCTCTTTCTTCCATTGGTTCACCCCCCAAATGGCCACTACGACCAGAACTATGCCAATCCAAAGCCAGGAGCCAGGTGCTTCCTCCTGGTCTCCAACGCAGGTGCAGGCGCCCAAGCACCTGGGCATCCTCCACTGCCTTTCTGGGCCACAGCAGAGAGCTGGCCTGGAAGAGGAGCAGCTGGGACTAGAACCCAGTGCCCATATGGGATGCTGGTGCTGCAGGCGGAGGATTAGCCAAGTGAGCCACAGTACCGACCCCCATCATAGTTTTTTTAAAAGATTTTACTTATTTTATTTGAGAGGTAGAGTTACAGACAGTGAGAGAGAGAGAGACAGAGACAAAGGTCTTCCTTCCATTGGTTCACTCCCCAAATGGCTGCAACTGCCGGAGCTGCGCCGATCCGACGCCAGGAGCCAGGAGCTTCTTCCGGGACTCCCACGTGGGTGTAGGGTCCCAAGGACTTGGGCCATCTTCTACTGCCTTCCCAGGCCACAGCAGAGAGCTGGATGGGAAGTGGAGCAGCCAGGACTAGAACTGGCACCCATATGGGATGCTGGCACTGTAGGCAGTGGCTTTACTTATTATGCCACAGCGCTGGTCCCAGTTCTATAACTTTTCAAGATATGAATAACATATAATAAACTGCAGTATTTAACGTGAACAATTGGTAAGTTTTGATATAAATACCAACCTTTAAAATCCCTGCCCGAGTCAGAAGCAGAGCCAGCTCTTGCCCACGGGCTCTGTACCGGGGCCCGGCGCCCACCGTGCGAGCGGTTTAGTGTGCTCTTCATGGTTCTGTGTAAGTGGCGGCGTGCGGCGTGCGTGTTTCCCTCAGCATAATTGTCCTGCAGTCCGTCTGTGTTGCGTGTTTTCTAGTTCGTCACCTCTTAGTGCCAAGCAGTGTCGCTCCCCCTCTTCGTGGAGGAACAACACAGGACCCTGCGCTGTTCTCTCGTCTGCTCGGCCCTCCCCGGGTTTGCTGCTGGCTCCTCCCGGGTCGGCTACTATCCCTTCCACCTCCGTGGAAGGGCAGTTCCCCCTGGCCACATTCCCCACTTCCGCAGGGGAGCGGCACACCGCCGGCCGGCTCTTCTCGGGGGCTGCACAGGTGTTCCCCTTAGATGTTCCCCATAGATGTTCCTGTTGCATGCCGTCTCTCTCCTCCTTTATAGTCCTCCTCCGCCAATCCTAACTCGGCTGCCCACACGCCGAGTACGCTGCTCTCCTCCAATCAATAGCAAGTCCTACAGTTTATTAGTTGAACTGGAGGCAGCTGTGCGGAAGCTGTTTACTTCTCTCCCAGCGCCATATTGTGGGAGAGCAGATGCATAGAATAAGTCTTAATTCGAGTAACTTAGTCTAGTCCGGATTGCTCCCCACAAGCAGGATCGCACGGGGTGGATGTGCCGTGCCGTGCCGTGGGCGTCTCAGCTGCTGCCAGCGGGTTCGCCGCAGCCTCCGGCTCTGCAGCTGCAGTCGCTGGGCTGGTTTCGTGTGTGTCTGTGTGGATGTGTGCTTTCGTTTCTCTTGGGCCGACGGCCAGCCGTGGGATGACGGGTCGCAGAGCAGGTGCCTGTCCTAGGAGACGGCCACACCAGTTCCAAAGTGGTCATCGTTTCACCGGCCCACCAGCAGAGCTCCCCGGTGCGGCTGTGGCGCAGCCTCCCGTCCATGGGGCCGTGCTCTGGGACGGCAGACCCTACCCCTGCGGTCGCCTCCGCACTGCGGTCGTGGTGCGGCGCTGAGCGCTGCCATCCCTGCCTCTCCTTCGCTGGTGCGTCTGCCCAGGTCTTTTGCCCATTTCGAAGGTGATGGTTGTTTCTTCCGTTGGAGAGTGTTGAGGGTTCTGACGCAGTCTCTGTGCACGTCTGTTCCGGGTGAGGGAAGAAGGTTCCCTCCGTTTGTGCCTGGTCCTTCATCCTGTGAAGAACATCTGAACAGCAGAAACCTTGATTTTGGCAGTGTCCATCCTCTCTTGTCTGAGCCACGTTCGAGGGGTGGCAGTCTTTGCCTGCAGACGTCGGGGTCACTAAGGTTTCTCGTGTGTTTCCCCGAGAGCGCTGTAGTTCTGCATTTTTCGTGTAGACGTTTGATTGGCTTTACGTTCAAACGTATGACGAGGTTTTTGTGACTTTTGCATTGGGCATCCTTGTTTTTATTTATTTTTCAGTTTTAAGGATTTTATTCAGTGAGAGAGGCATGGGAGAGTGAAGGCTCTATCTGAGGGAGAAGGAAAGTCCAGAGACGGAGTTGGGGTCCATACTGAGCCGAGAGCAGGCCAGGAGCCGCGTGCAGCAGGCGTGCAGGCGGAGAGCAGGGAGCCTGCGGCCCAGAGGCCATGCCCCCGAAGGCTCAGGCAGCAAGGGCAGCAAAGGGCAGTAATGACAAAACAGGGACACAGGGCTGGGCCTTTGTCCACTTCCAGAGGGGGTGGTTACATAGTCTGATTGGCAGGTGGGCGTACAGGTGGGGTCAGGCTGGGGCTGGAGGTCACACAGGGGTGTGGTGAAGGCGTGGTGAAGGCGTGGCCTTGCAGCTCACAGGTGTAATCAGTCTTCCCCTACCTACCTGCCTGCGTCACCCCCTCAGAGACTCCATTCCCTAGTCCTAAGGGCTGCCGGAGGGTGCAGAATCAGCACCCCTTCCGTAGCTGCTTCCTGCTCATGAGGGCATAGCGCAGGCCCTGCCTGTCCCGGGTCTGGAGTCTCCGCTGTCTCATCTGACAGATGGGCTTTATGGACTGGAGCAGTCTCGGTCCCCCAGTGGCTGTTAGACTCCCTGTTGGCCGGCACTTTTGTTGAGGATTCATTCTCCAGTGAACTGCTTTTGTGCCTTTAAGGGTACTTCAGAAAGTTTGTGGAAAAAGCATTAAAATGTTGATTTTGGTGCGAAAATTGAAATTCACTCGTAGGATTTTCATAACATGCATTGTCCATGAAGTTCTGAAGACGTCTTCCGTGTGGAGGGTCTGATTCCAGACTCTTCTGTCCGCTGACCCTCTTCTGCCGTTCCACCAGTGCCGTGCTGACGCAGAGCCTTGATTCGGGTTGCGCACGCCCTCCTGTCCCCTTCTTTTCCAGTGTTTATTCTGGTTCTTTTATGCCCTTTACCTTTCCAGGTGACCTTGAGAATAAGCATGTCACTTCTTCTTTTTTTTTTTTTTTTTTTTTTTTTTAAGATTTTACTTTATTTTTTGAAAGACTGTTACAGAGAAAGGTAGAGAGAGGGGTCTTCCATCTGCTGGTTCACTCCCCAGATGGCTGCAAGGGCCAGACTGCGCCGATCTGAAGCCAGGAGCCAGGAGCTTCTTCTGGGTCTCCCACGTGGGTGCAGGGGCCCAAGGACTTGCGCCATCCTCCACTGCTTTCCCAGGCCACAGCAGAGAGCTGGATCAGAAGAGGAGCGGCTGGGACTAGAACCAGTGCCCATATGAGATGGCGGTGCTTCAGGCCAGGGCTTTAACCCGTGGTGACACAGCGCCAGCCCCTAGCTTGTCACTTTCTGTCAAAAAAAATTGTGTTGGAATTTTTCCTGTGATTGTATTGAATTAAGTTTAATTTGGGGCAAATCGGCGCTGTAGCAGTGTTGTTCTTCCATTCAGACACAGGCGTTTGTCTGCATTTACTTAGTTGTTGTTGGTACACAGGGGATCAGGGGATCGCACCTGTGTCTCCCAGCTCCAGGCAGTGGAATGATCTCTGTTTCCGGCCATCTTCTCACAGTAAGAAAAGGGGTGCAGAATGGAGAGGAGACAGAATACGAATTCACAGCCAGACTGAGTTTATTCAAAGAAAATAAACTCGCAGAGGCCGACCAGCTACCAGCATGCACACACAGACTGAACTGGCAGAGGCCCTGACCCAGCAGGTGGCCTGGGAGAGGGCGTGGGGTCCACAGGTGGGGCTGAGCTGCTCCATTCAAACCTGGAGAGCAGTACAGGTTGAGGCTGACGTGGCCTCGTGAAAGAAGGCAGGGGACAAGAACCTTGTTCCGTCACTTGGCGTGAGCTCCGGGCAAGGAGAACTGCCCCCTTCCAGCGTCCTGCTTCCCTCCGGAGCAGCTCACTGCCTGTCGCCCTGGGCTTGGCGTTCCTGTGCTGCAGCATAGCCCCTGCAGTGCCCCGTGGAACTGGGCCCGAGCCAGGGCACGTGCCAGTTCTCTGGCTGTGGCTGTTGACTCTGAGTAATGAAGTTCTTTGTCTCAGGCTCTGTGTCTTCTGCCAGCGCCCATCCGGCTCTGGCATGCTAATTTGTCACACTCAAGACCTTCCAGTTTCGAGGTGGCGCTGGGGGCTGTGTCTGCATTCGCGATAATGCTCAGCCAGCTGGGTTGGATTCTTGACCACACAGCTTGTTTCCCTTGGTCTGCATAGAGCAGAGGCGGTTCCTGGGCCTGACCCATGAAGTACCGTCCAGCCTGGTTGCCTGGAGCCACGTGGGGCACACAGCGCCAGTTTGTGGCAGGGTGGGGTGGTGGGAGAGTAGTGAAGCGGTACCCAGACACTGCTGTAGTGTACTACGTCTCCACTGGTGTGTTTCTGTCATTCGCTTACACGGGAACGTCTTGTTCCTGTCCTGTGGACGCAGGAGCTGAGGCGCAGAGGGGAAGTAACGTGCCCAGGGTCTTCTGCCTGGTAGACGCCCCCCTGGGGTTGAAGCCGCCTGGCTACGAGGCCTGCCCCGGCGCCGGGAGGGCGTCCCTGCCTCCTCGCGGACACGGTCGCCCCGCAGCGCCAGCCTCCTGCAGGTGTGTGCTCTCCTTGGGGGGGAGCGCAGGCCGACTTCTCCTGGCCCTCCCTAGCTGTGCTGCTCCAGCGGCTCCTCGGGGTGGGCCCGCTGTGCGGCTCTGTCAGAAATAGGGAGCCCGAGTGCCGCGAAGACTTGGCTGGACTTTCCCTGCCCGTGCTGAGAAGGGCCGTGGGCAGTCGGGTGGCTGTTAGGTGAGCTGAGTGCAGCTTTGCTTCTGGGCCGTCCTGGGCTGGCTTCTTCACGGAGCCAGGGCCTGATTCCGTTAGGGCACAGACATGAGCCCACGTGTGTGACAGGGGCCTGAGGGAAGCAGAGCACCCTGGGAAAGGAGTGTGGCAGCCTGGAGCAGCCAGTGGTCTGCACTACAACGTCCCACCCACACAGTGACTCTGTAGGTGCTCCAAGCCCCTCCGAAAGCACCCCAGGAGAATCCTCTCTGAGGTGCCACGTGGACTCCCAGTCTGATGACGCTGGGCAGCAAAACCTCGGGAGGGATCTTCCTTAATTTCACTCCCAGCAAATCCTCTGCCCAGGAGAAGGGGTGGCTGGGAAGAACTGGGCCCCTCCCCTTTGGAGTGGCAGACTGAAGGCCGACTGTGCTCCCAGCCCAGAGCTGGGTGCCCGCCTGGCCTGTCAGGTGCATTCTTTTTTTTTTATTTATTTATTTATTTATTTATTTATTTATTTATTTATTTATTTATTTTTTTGACAGGCAGAGTGGACAGTGAGAGAGAGAGAGACAGAGAGAAAGGTCTTCCTTTGCCGTTGGTTCACCCTCCAATGGCCGCCGCGGCCAGCGCGATGCGACCGGCGCACCGCGCTGATCCGATGGCAGGAGCCAGGAGCCAGGTGCTTTTCCTGGTCTCCCATGGGGTGCAGGGCCCAAGCACCTGGGCCATCCTCCACTGCACTCCCGGGCCACAGCAGAGGGCTGGCCTGGAAGAGGGGCAACTGGGACAGAATCCGGCGCCCCGACCGGGACTAGAACCCGGTGTGCCGGCGCCGCTAGGCGGAGGATTAGCCTAGTGAGCCGCGACGCCGGCCCTGTCAGGTGCATTCTCATTGGTCGTTGCTTGTCTCAGTTGGATCGGTTCTGTAGAACGTGGTCTTGGGACCCGTTAGCCCCAGGTTTGAGCCGCAGTTTTCCTCCCTGTGAACTTACCTAAGCTTTTCTGATTGCTCCCGTGGGGTTTCTACCCGTAGGGTCTTCATGGGTGTTAAATGCGTAGTGCCTGGGACAGCACCTGACACGGCAGGTGTTACATGGGTGGTGGTTCCGTTTTCTCTCTAGGTATCTCTCTGCAGTGGAAGCTCATCTCCGTGTGTCTCGCTTGACCAGAAGCTGGTGCATTGCCTTTCCAGTGTCCCTGCTTCCCAGGCAGAGGACGGCCTTGCCGCTGACCAGTTTCCTGTAACCTGTGCTGATTTCCTTCCCTCCTGTGATTCGGCTGCGTGGCTGGCGTTTTCCCAGGCTTCCTCCGGATTCTTCACATTCCTCTTAAGCCGCAGAGCTGGCCTGGAACCACAGAGTGGATCAGGAGGGGCCGCATGCTGGGGAGCTGTGTGCAGGCAGGGCCGGAGCACGCTTGGAACGGGCTGTGCTTCCTGCCAGTGTCTGTAGTGTGGGAAGGGTGGAGCATCCACTCCCCGTCTCACGTCTCACGTGTCCTTGCTGGGCTGAGAAATCTGAAACCTTACAAGTGTTTTAGCCCAGAACTCTGCCTGAGCCCCCGGGAACCCTGGAGGACGTCCCGCCGCTGTGTTCAGATGCAGCTCCGCAGCTCCCCCAGCACCACTGCCGCACCTCTGACTTCCTGGTTTTTCAGACCTGGATAACCCTGCGGTGATCCTGGACCCCTTATTGCCTCTCACAGGCACACTGCCCTGTCGGGGTCCTGAAGGCTCCACCTCCAGCACACAGCCAGTCCCAGCTTCCCCTCCTGTCTGCGTGTGAGCCCCTGCTGCGTGAGGTCTGCTTCCAGGCCTCTGCATGGCTCATCTTCAGGCTGTGAATTGGGAGCCGTGAGCATGCTGGCAGGGAGAGCCCAGCATGCTGGCTGAGATGCAAAAAATGTGTAAAAGCATTCCTGGGACCTGGAAAGAGATAATTATACCCACAGCACAAAAGCCAGGTGGAAGTGAGAGGACGGAGAACCGAGCCTTTTGCCTTGAGGGCACTTGTCAAACTTGACCTTCAGTTTCCAGGGCTCACAGGGAGCAGGACAGGAGACAGAGCCCGGGCTCCACATCCGCTGTTCAGTCTAACAGGAGCTCCCACAGGGTCAGGGTCAACTAAGGAAACCCCCAGTCCGTGGAGTCTGCAGGAAAACATCTGATTGGAGCAGTTTCTGGGAGCTCACTGCTGAGACTTAGCGACTGTGTGTTGGTTTCATGTGGGTTTGGAGTCTGGCTGATGTTATGGTAGCTTGGCTGGGCCACCGGGAGCCCAGACACTGCTCACCCGTGACTCTGGCTGAGCCTGGGAGGGAGATCCTGGGTGAGATGCACGTGAGGCAGAGGCTTCCCCCACGTGGGGCCTCATCCAGTCGGCTACAGGCCCGAGAACAAAAGGCCGGGGAGGAGGGGACTCCTGCTTGGCTGCCTGGGCTGGGACCCCGGTCTGTTCCTGCTGTGGGCCCAGGTAGAGACACCGGCTCTTCTTTTGGACTGGAACTATATGTCAGCTCTCCTAGGGCTCCAGCTTGCCAACTGCAGTTCTTGGAAATCCTCGGCTTCCACGGTCGCACGAGCCGATTCCGAATGCAGTCTCTGTTCACCCGTCCGTCCTGACGTCCGTCAGTTCGGTTCTCTGAAGGACGCTGCCTGCCAGCAGTCTGTTTAGAGATGGGAATCCTTCCGGAGAGTTCTTGACTTCAGCCGAGCCCTCGCGGACTTCCTCCAGAGGGCGTTCCAGGGTCTGCGCTCACGTCTGTCTGGGAAGCGTGAGGAGGGGCACACGTGACGGACCCGCGTCATGCACCCGCAGAGGGTTTCAGATGACAGAATGACCGGACCAACACGAAGGAACCGTCTCACGTGCTGAAGGCAGAGGAGGAGGGGTTGGCGTGTGAGTGAGCAGGCGCAGCTTCGTTGCGGTGTACCTGCGATTGTGTGTGCCGTTGAAGAGATGAAATCCTTCTGCAGGTGATCCAGGCTGAAGCAGAGAGAGACTGAGGCGGAGGAGACCAGGAACTTCGCTGTGCTAGCTGCTCACTCGGGAAGGAAGCGGCGTCCGAGTAATGGCCGGGACGTCCCCCTCCGAGCAGTACGCGCTGAGACACGGTGGGACGGGAACTCGGAGCTCGGAGACGGAGGAGGTTCAGAGGCCGCAGGCGAAGGACGCGCCTTCCCTGGAGCGACTCAGACCGACGCGTGTCCCCTTGGCGGCGGCTGCTCGTGTCTTCACGCGAGAGGAAGTAACTGAAACTTGTGCCCACCATCCCATCAAGTCGGTTCTTTTGAAAGATGTATGTGTTTATTTGGAAGGCGGGCGGAGAAAGGGAGCTCAGTCTTCCGTCTGCTAGTTCCCTCTTCACATGTCCACAACAGCCGGGCCTCCAGCTGGGTCTCGTGGGTGGCAGAGACTCCAGTGCTGTGGCCGTCATCTGCGGCTGCCAGGAGCATTGGCAGGGAGCTGCGTTGGAGGCGGAGCCACCGGGACTCCCACCAGCTCTCCAGTGTGGGGTGCGTGTGAGAGCTGTGGCACAGTCGGTGAAGCCACCAAATGTTTCCAAGAACGACGAGAAATAGCGGCATTCCAGACAAGTGAAAACCACGTGCAGGGTGGGCTCGGGGCTGGGGAAAGCTGGGGAAAGCTGGGAGACGCAGGTGAGGGCGGGGACTGGATAACGGCCATCTGAGTGGGCGTGGCTTGTAGAAGCAGTGCAGACCAAAGACAGCAGAGTCCCCAGCAGTGGCCTCGTGGGGGGGCAGCAGTGGCCTGAGACACGGCGAGGTGCAGGTGGGCGGGGCTCAGAGGCGCTTTGTGCTGTGACCGGGTGTTGTTGCTGTGCGGTACAACAGTGTAACATCAGCACACTGTTGGGGCATCAGCTCAGGATCGGGGTCCTGTGCTAGCCAGCTGCCCTGCACACACTGCCCCGCCTCCCCTCTGCTAGCAGTGTCCCTTGGATATTACCGCCTCCCTCTGGTCGGGTGTGGCAAGTCTCCGTCGGACATCAGCACACAGACTCTTGGAGAGGAGGAGCCTGGGCCTGGAGTGCTGACAGCCTTGAGGTCAGACTTGCATCCTGTTGGACCTGAACTTGGTAGCTGTAGGACGATCCTGGCCCTGTCACACACCGTGTCCTGTCTTCACAGTGGGGCCCCTGGGACTCCTGGAAGCTTGGCGCCCTGCAGGTCCTGTGTGCCAGGGCTAGCGAGGCGTCCTCTCCCCAGGTCTTGGGTTCCTCACATGCTCTGCACAGCTCCCCCACAGCTTTGAACATCCCCTCGCTCTTCCCACCTCTCCTCTTCCTGCCCGTCTCCTCAGGTTCAGCCCAGCTCATGCCCCCAGGAGCCGCCATCCGCTGCCCTGCTTGTGCGGGGGTCTCTCCCTGTGTCCCATTCCCTGAGGGACAGCTCCTGTGGGCTCCGGCTCTGCAGTCAGCAGCTTTACCCGCTGCGCCACGGCGCCGGCCCCAGGACTTCAGGACGTCCTTCTTTGTGAGGACTGGATAATGTTTCACCCTGTCTCTGCACTGCGGTTTCCTTTTCCACTAGTCTGGTGACGGACACCGGATGGCCGCGCATCTCCGCTTTGCTGAATGTCGCTGCAGTGCAGTTGGGGGTGCAGATAGCGCCCCGAGATCCTGAGTTCAGCTCTTTAGGGTGCGTGTCCAGAAGTGGGGTTGCTGGGTCTGGTGGTAGCTGTCTTTAGTTTTCTGAGAACTTCCGCTGTGTTCCGTGAGGCCTGTGCCAGTTGACGCCCCCACCCCCCCCGCGTTGTTGACAGCCATCCTGGCGGGGTGGGACGGTATCGCACAGTGTCCCTGAGGCCTGGTGACATTGAGCCCCTTTCATACACGTGGGGCCACTTCCGTGTTTTCTGTGGAGAGTGTCTACTCAGATCTTTGGTCTCTATTTTAACTGGGTTATGTGTTGTTACTGATTTATGACTTTTTAGGATACTGGCCCGTACTAGACAAGTGGTTTGCAGATGCTCGCTCTCACCCCATAGATCACCATTTCATGTTGTTATTGTCTTCGCTGTGCGCACTCCCACTTGTTTTTGTTTTCTTATTTTGGTGTCATACTAAAAAAATCACTGCCAGGCTGGCGCTGTGGTGCACCAGATAAAGATCTTGCTTGCAGTGCTGGTTTGAGTCCCAGCTGCTCCACTTCCGATCCAGCTCTCTGCTGTGGCCTGGGAAAGCAGTGGAAGATGGCCCAAGTCCTGGGGCCCCTGCACCCACGTGGGAGACCTGGAAGAAACTCCTGTTCTTGGTTCTCGTTCTTTCTCTCTCTCTCTCCCCCTGTAACTCTGCCTTTCAAAAAATAAATAAACTTAAAAAAAATCACTTCCAAGCCCATGTCAAGGAAATTCTCCCTTTGTTTTCTTGCAGTTTCAGGTTTGAGGTTTATGTCTTTAATGCATTTTGAGTTGAATTTGACACTGGCGTGAGGTGAAGGACAGAGCTCGTCCTGAGGTGTCAGGACATCCAGTTTTCCCAGCGAGATCTGCTGAGAGACTGTCCTCTCGCCGCTGTGACCCCAGGCACCATTGTCAGATGGGCTGTCTGTACGTATGTGAGTTACTTCTGCGCTCTCAGTGTCTGTATTTACGCCTGTGCCATGCCGTTTTGATTATTGTGGCCTTCTAATATAATGAGATGGAAAGCGTAATGTTTCCTGCCGTGTCTGTCTTGCCCAGGAGCACTTTGGCTCTTTGGGGTCTTTCACGGTTCCATATAAATTTTAAAGTTGTTCTTCTGATTTCTGTGACAAAATTTCCGTGATATTTTAATGGGAATTACGTTTGAATCTGTAGGTTGTTTTGGATATCGGGACATTTTCAGTGTTAATTCTTGCAGTTCATGAACATGGCATCTCTTTCATTTGTTTATGTTTGCTTCAGTTTCCTTCATTGGCGCTTTTTAATTTTGAGCGATAGCTTCCTTATCCCGAGTGTGTGCCCATCCTCAGCTGCTGTCCCAGGTGCACCGTGTGGCAGCGGGAGGGAGCAGTCTCTGCCTTCCTTTAACAGTCCCCTGGACGCAGTGTGCCTTCGGCTGTCCACGTGCGTTCCATTCCTCCCTGACCTCAGCCCCGGGGGTCTCTGAGGACCTTCTGAATCCAAGCCATTCTCCAGGCCCCTGGGTCGTCTTGCCATTCTGCCTGCCTGCGGTCTGGCCCAGCCCCGTCTGGTGGTGCTGATCCCAGGTTGAGCCCTGGGGGGCTGTTGTACCAGCCCAGATCGCGGTTGGATTCCCTGAGTTACCGTGGATGGCACGACTGGACTCAGGCCTGGCAGTCAGCGCTTGGCCTAGTTTCTCTGGGGCCGTTGCTCTGGCCTGCATGTCCTGTAGCAGACCGTCTGCACTGACCGCTGGCTGTGGGCCCAGGCCGTGGGACGCCGGTGCCTGCCCTGGGCTGGACCAGAGCCTCTCTCCAGGGCTCTTGTGGCTCGAGCTGTGTTCTGCACTCGTGGGCCGTGGGGGTAGGGGGCTGCAGGCCCGTCCCGGTCTCTCTCTGCTTTCCATCGCTGCAGCTGAGGCAGAGGTGCAGGAGCCCTGTGGCTGCCGTGGACTCCTCCCCTGCCCAGGCGTGGCTCTTTAGCCTTGTCTCAAATTCGGAGTTAGACTGGCGTCTTCCGTCAGTGACGCCTTGTGCTTTTCCCAAGCTGGTGGACGCCTCGCTTCCGTTCAGTGAGGACAGCGCGTCCCTCCCCTAATAAGGACTCTGTCTCCCAGTGGCACTGCTCACCTCTACCGTGCTGGGTGGGCGAGGCAGTCGGGGCAGGGCGGGGCCCTGGTCACTGATGGCCGGCACCTGCAGCACAGCAGTGCTCGAGGCGCAGCCTGCAGTTTGGACACGGCTGTGGCAGCACAGCAGAGCTGCTGCTCAGAGCTTGATGACGTCGCCTAACAGGGAGGAAGGCTGAGGGACTTGGTTACTAGTCGAAGTTTATTTTTTTATTATTTTTTTTAGATTTTTATTTTATTTATTTGAAAGAGTTACGCAGAGAGGCAGAGACAGAGAGAGGTCTTCCATCCCTCGTTCACTCCTCAGAGGGCCACAACGGCCGGAGCTGCGCCGATCCGAAGCCAGGAGCCAGGAGCTTTCTCTGGGTCTCCCACGTGGGTGCAGGGGCCCAAAGACTTGGGCCATCTTCCACTGCTCTCCCAGGCCACAGCAGAGAGCTGGATCGGAAGAGGAGCAGCCGGGACTCGAACCAGCACCCATATGGGATGCCCGGTGCCTCAGGCTAGGGAGTAACCCACTGCGCCACAGCGCCGGCCCAATTTAGTGGAAGTTTAGTTACCTATCTTCGTAATTCTTTTCAGTCCAAATATGTGGGATTATAAGAATCGGTTAATGAGTCTAACCAGCTAACTTCACATTACACAAGCAATGGGTAGCCATCTGACAGAAATGAAAACGTTTCACAGAAAGTCTTTGCTGGCAGGTTTTCAGTGTAATGTTTCATTGTGTTGGCTTGGTGTCTAGCCTGTGAGGCTTGCAAACGTGGTTTTTGTCTTAAAAAACAAAAGAAAACAAAACAGAATACCACTCTCAAACATTACGGACTGGAAACTGGCTCTTCGGGAGACCCGTCCACGAGGAGGCCGCCGGTGTGGAGTGAGCGCGGGCCCCGGGCTGTGCCCACAGATGGTTTGACGGTGTCCTTATGTCAGCGATTTGATTTCCATACGATGTGTCCCACAGTGTGGACAGGAGTGGGCCAGCGCAGGACATCTCCTGGTGGCAGACACTGGCAAATCCCGCGCTCTGTGTCCAGTGCAGCGCCTGGGAGCAGCCTGGGCTCTCTGTGGTCTAGGAGCTGACGGACTCGCAGGCACCGCTAGAGAGGGCGTGGCCTCCCCGGGAAGCTGTGGTTGGCGTGGGTTGAGGTCCCAGTAAAAATAATCCGAATAGAAACACAGAACGTTGAAGATGGGAAGCCTGGAGTTCATGGCTGGGGAGCGACTCCTGGAGAAGCGCCAGGGGACAGGGGTCGTGAGGCTGCAGGGCCCGGCAGCAGGAGGACCTGGGGGCCCTGGGCTGGAGTCCCACCCGTCTCCTGTGGTCTCCTAGTGCCTGGCCCTGAGCGAGCCCCTGCAGTTCCGTGACATTCAGGCGTGGCATGTCCGAGTACGAGCACTGTTCCTGCTGGGGATTTTAGTGGACAGAAGTGGGAACACTGCATCCTGTTTCATAGGAGAGAAAATAATTGAGGATGGACTGGTTGGTCTTCAGCCAGACTCCGCTCAGGGCTCAGGATAGAGAAGGGCCTTCGATGGCGGCCTCTGGGGTTTCAGTAGAGGACGTGGTCAGACAGGACAGAGCTCAGGGTGCTGAGGATCCTGTGCCTGTCAGGGAGGGAGCGTCTTGTGTGTTTGAGGGCAGTCAGAGTCTCATTTCCAGTTTTCAATGAAAAATGGAAGAGAATTGAGACCGGCACTGTGGCGTAAAAGGCGAAGCAGCCACCTGCGACACCAGTGTCCCTCAAGGGCTCCGGCTCAAGTCCCAGCTGCTCCACTTCCCATCCAGCTCTGGGAAGCAGTGGAGGATGGCTCAAGTCTTTGGGCCCTGCACCCACGTGGGAGACCTGGATGAAGCTCCTGGCTCCTGGCTCCTGGCTTCAGCCTGGCCCAGCTCTGGCCATTGTGCCTATTTGGGGAGTAACCAGTGGAAGGAAGATTTCTCTGTCTTTTCTTCTCTGTCTGTAACTCTGCCATTCAAAAAAATAATTTTTTGTAAAAAAAATGGAATAGAAAGAAAAGTAAGAATGAGTATATTTTACTTGAAAGTGTACTGTGACCTTCATAGTGTTTTCATGGGCTAGGAGTTAGCTCCTCCTGTGCGTGTTTCTACAGGGGTTTCTTTTATGGTGTCGCAGTGGGTTACTCAAATTTGCTCCAATTTTGATGGTTTTATGATAGGCCACAAATATTGGAATGGTTTTCATAATCATTTCTGTCTGATTCTGCTTTACTCTTTTACTCTTCCAGAAAAGATACTGAGTGTTGTTCATTAACTCCCTGATGAGAGATCTGGGTGGCTGGGAAATTTTTTTAAAGATTTTGTTAGTTTATTTTGAAAGGCAGGGTTATAGAAATGGGGGGGGGGGGCGGGGAGACAGGAAGAGAGATTGTTTCCGTCTGCTGTTTCACTCCCCGAATGGCTGCCATGTCCTGGGCTGGACCAGGCTGAAGACAGAAGCCAGGAGCTCCATCTGAGTCTCCCATACGGGTGCTGGGACCCAAGCACTTGGGCATCTTCCACTGCTTTCTCGGGCCATTGGCAGGGAGCTGGATGGGAAGCGGAGCAGCCGGGACTCGAGCTGGCGCCCATGTGGGATGCCGCTGTTGCTGTGGGGATTTGGATGTGACTTTTGGGTTATGATTGACATAGCCTTAGGAGCTACTGGTGTCTTCAGTTTGCTGTAATCTTGGCAAACTGCGTCTGAAGATGGTCTGTCTGTGGCAGGGTGTGGTGGTTGCTGGCGCCAGCGTGTGTGAGACACGCTTCCTGTTGACTTGGCACAGGCAGCAGTGAGTGTGAACGCACACCGTATGGTACAGCGCAGGTCAGATGTCAGTGAGTCTGTCATCCGGAAACAAGCAGGCTTCCAGATGGTGGCCACCACACAGGTGCCCCACAGCTGGAGAGACACTGCGTGGCCTCGGGTTCCTCCCTGGGTCTGAAAGCCGAGCCGCGCTGTTCTGCAGCAGGTGCACAGCTTCTGCGTGGGCATGTGCGGCCTTGACATCAGCCACCCACGTGTCCCCGTGGCAGCTGGTGCTGTCACCTGCGGATGTGTGTGCACGACCCAGAGGCATCGTGTCTGCGCATTCTGTTTCTTTGGGGCCGACGTAGCAGACCTGTTAGCAGAACTGTAAATGCCCTTTGGAGGGACCAGTTCCAGTCCCTGAAGCAGCTCCCTCGCAGGTGCCATGGGCTCTGTGGCCTCGGACAGGCCTGGGCGTTGAAGGAGGGAGGGTGTATGCTCAGCTCTGCGTGTCCTGCGGCCACTCTGCTGGCCTCTCCTGGCTGCCCCTCATCCAGAGAAGCTGAGCAGCTCTGAGCGGGCTGTCGGCAGCCGCGGGGAGGCTGGGGAAGGGGGAGGCCGGCAGCTGCAGCGGGGGACCAAGACCAGAGCCCAGGCGGCGGGCAGCTTCCTCCCCGCCCTTCAGGGCGTGTGTGCCTGCGGGAGGAGTGGTTCGTGGCTTTGACCACGGTTGCACGTGGCTTCTAGGCTCAGAATGCGGTGTTAGCTCCGCCCGCGGCAGCTGGCTGGACGCCTTCAGAGCAGCCAGCTGGCATGCAGCAGACCAGTGTACAGTACAGCTGTCACTTTCTTCACAGGTAAGGGCACGGCTGGAAGGGTGCTGGGGTGGCCCTGCTGTCCTCTGGGGAGGCAGGATACTGGCAGCTGGCGGTGGGCTGGCTGCCACCTGCCCCGTTTAGGGTCCTGTAATCGCCTTCATACCAAAAGCGCCCTCCTCCTGTCAGTCAGACACTGAGTGTCTGCTGGCTTGACACAAGGCTGTCGTTGCTAGTGCCTGGGGTGCTCTTGTCCCCCTCCAGGGCACGTCTGCCCACGTTCTGAACAAACCAGGCCACCTCACAGGCTTTCTCCCAGCAGAGGAGAGGAGGTGATGAGTTAGAGACAGAAGAGTCCCGAGAAGTCTGGGCTGTCGTCCTCAGCTCCGAGCACAGTGGCCATTTCCAGGCCCAGGTGCCTTCACTGACAGCGCCTGGCACCCTTGCCGTTCACCCGGTCTGGTCTTTTCTCCAGCAGGGAGCCTGCCGTCACCTGTGTGCTGTGCCCTGTGCAAGCAGAGACTGAGCCCTGCACCCCGCTCAGGGCCTGGCTGTGATCCGAGGCAGGGGCCAGCCAGTGCCCCCTCCGCGTTTACACACCATCTGGAGGGCGCTGTCTCGAGTAGCCCAGAGCTCTGTTCCTGTGTCTGCAGACAGGTCCCTGCTCTGTTTCCTTCTTCCCTCCCTCCCTCCCAGTTTTCTAGTTTTCTTCATCCATCCACACGGTCATTCTACTGCTGAAAATTGAAACAGCATGTCAACGTTTCCTGTCATTGCAATTCAGATTTTTTTTTTTTTTTTGACAGGCAGAGTGGACAGTGAGAGAGAGAGAGACAGAGAGAAAGGTCTTCCTTTGCCGTTGGTTCACCCTCCAATGGCCGCCGCGGCCGGCGCGCTGCGGCCGGCGCACCGCGCTGATCCGATGGCAGGAGCCAGGAGCCAGGTGCTTTTCCTGGTCTCCCATGGGGTGCAGGGCCCAAGCACCTGGGCCATCCTCCACTGCACTCCCTGGCCACAGCAGAGAGCTGGCCTGGAAGAGGGGCAACCGGGACAGAATCCGGTGCCCCGACTGGGACTAGAACCCGGTGTGCCAGTGCCGCTAGGCGGAGGATTAGCCTAGTGAGCCGCGGCGCCGGCTGCAATTCAGATTTTTGAAAACCAGCAGTTACAATTATCTTCCCTAATTACGATGCTCTAGCCCAAACACTCAGTTTTCTTTGCATTTCTTCCCCACAACCTTCTTTGCTTCAGTTCTTGGTGCTGGGAAAACACACATATTTGAGAGCTGTTGGTGTTTCTTTGGGTCAAGTCAAAAAAAATAAAGTGTGCTGGAGTCATTCAAGTGCATTCAGACTACCAGTTCCTCGCAGAGGAATTCCTTAGAAAGGTGGGTCTGCTGGGGCCACCGGGGCCACCGGGCCTGTGAGCAGGGGCTGGGATGGCGCTGCACTGCCCCCGCCCCGACTGCCCCCACGCGCCGTGCTGGCTCCCCCGTGCGGGCCGTGGCAGGGGCTCAGGGCTTCGTCCACACTGAAAGCTTAGTGAATGCCTGGGAAGCACCGGGTTGGTGTGGAGAGCACTGTGGGCAGAACGCGTGCTCTGCGAGTGTCAAGTCCTCCACTGGGAACACGCGTGGTTCACGGTTTATAGAATTGGATAGCTAGTGACAGTGGACGTGCTGTGCATGCAGGGAAGAGTCGGGGGGTTTCGGGGCGTCCAGGCCGGGGTGCCAGTGCCTTCGGAGGCTGCAGGGCTTCCTGTTCCTGGTGCTTGGTCACGGGAAGGCGTGCATTGAGAGCGTGCTCCCACCCGGGGCCGCCTCGCCTGAGGTCGGGACTGTGTCAGCTACCGGCTCGGGGAGGGGCGCTGGCGGGGCCAGGCGCGGCCAGGCGGGGCCAGGCGGGGCCAGGCGGGGCCAGGCGCGGCCAGGCGCGGCCAGGCGCGGCCAGGCGCGGCCAGGCGGGGCCAGGCGGGCCGCTTGCTGCTGCTCTCCTGAAATCCCTTGGTCACGGAGTGGGTGACAGCGGGAGCTGCCCCGAGGCCCGTGGGCACATCGTTAGGCACCACTGTGTACAGCGCCCTTCTGCCCTGCGTGGGGAGCACTTGGTGTGTTCTCTGTCTGACCCGCTTCTCGCCCCTCGTCTCCTCAGGCTGCCCCTGCCCGTCTTCCTCCACACCCTCGGGCTGATGGAGCTGCGGCCGCAGCCCGGACCCTGCGCCCAGTGCTAGTGGGGTCCTCAGACAGCCCGTGGGAAGTGTCCATTGTGAAAAACTGGGCGTGGGTCTCGGTGTTGTTGCACCAGATTGTACTTTTCTCTTGATTTCATGTGCCATGGAGTTTTCGGCGTCCCTGTAGACCGGCATGCCCAAAGCCTGCGTGTCGTCCTCTCCACTGGGACACACAGATGCGCCTAGGCTGGGCTTCCCATGCTGTCTGTGCCTGTGTTCACCTCCCTCCTGGTGGCAGGGCCACGGTGCCCACTGCCACCAGGCCCAGCCTTCCCCCTCTCACTGTGCATGGCCCTTTGATTGCAGCTGCTGGCCACGTCCCAGAATCCTGCGGGTGATATCCCTTCCACTTGTCCCCATATTCTGGCTTGGTCCAGGCAATCAGCAACCCTCCCTCCCTCCCTGCCTCCCTCCCCCCTGCCTCCCTCCCCCCTACCTCCCCCCTGCCTCCCTCCCCCCTGCCTCCCTCCCTCCCTGCCTCCCTGCCTCCCTGCCTCCCCGCCTCCCTGCCTCCCTCCTTCCCTTTCTGAGGATTTAGTTATTTATTCAGAAGGCAGACTGAGAGAGTGTGCATGCCAGCGAGTGCTGTCTTCTACCCGCGGATTCATTCCCCAGATGGCCACAACAGCTGGAGTCGGGCCAGGCCACAGCCAGGATCCTGGAGCTCCGTCTGGTCTCTCACGCGTGGCAGGGACCCGAGTACTTGGTCACCCTCTGCTGCCCTTCTGGGAGCAGCAGCAGGGAGCTGGGTCAGAAGCAGGGCGGCCGGCGCTCGGCTCACACTGCGGGCTCTTCCCGGCGCTCCGCCTCCTGCTGTCCCCCAGCCCAGCTTTCGTGGCTGCCGCAGGGGCCTTCCCGGGCCACGCGCACCACTGGCCTCTGCTCGCCCTGGGAGAAGACCCAGAGCCGTGATCCGAGTGCACTTCCTCCTTGGATCCCAGCCCTGTGTGTCCCGCGGGCTGTGTCCCTCTGCACACAGCTCTTGCCTGCTCCTTACTGAATGTGGACTCAGGAGGGAAGCCAGCCAAAATGTGCATTTGGGAGAAATCGCTTACATTTCTTTTCAATCCATTTATTTGAGACACAGAGAAAGGAGGAGACACCCTAACTGCTGGCCCACTCCCCCAGATGTGCACAGCAGCTGGAGTGTGGCGGGGAGCCGGGAATGCAACCGGACCTCAGAGGCAGCAGGGCCCAGCTGCTTGCTGCATCACTCGCCGCCTGCCCACAGGCTGCACGTGAGCGGAAGTCTGGAGTTGGGAGTCAGAACTGAGCACTGAACCCAGGTGCTGTGATGTGGGACACAGGGGTGCCGGCTGGCGTCTCACCTGCCCCGAGAAGTCTGTGTGCGATATGTGTGATTTCTCCAGGTAGCCCGAGTCTGTGCAGGAGGTGGAGAGGCTGGGAAGGGAAGCTGGACGGTGAAGGACGCGGAGTGGCCCTGGTGAGGGCGGAGCTGGGCAAGAGCCTCGTGGAACATCTGCGCGAGGACGGGAAAGCCAGCCCAAGCGCAGGCTGAGTGCGGCTGGAGGGGCGCAGAGCGGAGGGAGCTCCTGGCGGGGTGCAGCGGCAGCAGGCCGGAGAGCAGGGGAGGCTGCGTGGGAGGAGTGCGCGTTGGCACCGTCGGCACGCGCAGGTCTCAGGCTGAGGAGTGTGGTGGGTGCCAGAGGCCAGGCCTGTGGGGTTTCAGGGGCCAGCATGGCACCTGGGTGACCGTTTGGTGATCCCTATCTAACTAGAGAGGGTGGTGGTTACATAGCTTCAGGTTTTAATAGGTGTGACGTGGCTGGTACAGCGTACGTGCACGCGTGTGGTGGTCACTCTGTGACGCTTGTTCAGAATGGCGCAGACTCTAATTTGAATTTCTGTATTTAGTTTCCACATATTTGGAGGTTTTCTGGGGCTGGTGTGGTGGCTTAGCGTATGTCACTACCAGCAGTGCTGGTTTGCATATACCCTTATGGGTGCTGGTTTGTGTCCCAGCTGCACCACTTCCTATCCAGCTCCCTGCCGCCGGCCTAGGAAAAGCAGCAGAAGATGTTCTAGGTGTTTGGGGCCCTGCCACCATGTGGGAGGGAGACTTGGGTGAAGCTCCTGGCTCCTAGCTTCAGACTGGCTGAGCGCTTGGCCATTGCAGTCATTTTTTGGGGGTGAAGGTGAACCAGTGGATGGAAGATTCTCTTTATCCCTCTCTCTGTAACTCTGACTTTCCAATAAATAAATCAGTCTTTTTTTTTTTTAAGATTTATTTATTGGAAAGTCAGAGTTACACACACACACACAGAGCTTCCATCCGCTGGTTCACTCCCCAGTTGGCCACAATGGCTGGAGCTGTGCCGATCTGAAGCCAGGAGCCTGGAGCTTCTTCCAGATCTCCCACATGAGTTTAGGGGCCCAAGGACTTGGGCATCTTCTATTGCTTTCCCAGGCCACAGCAGAGAGCTGGATCAGAAGAGGAGCAGCTGGGACTCAAACCGGCGCCCATATGAGATGCCGGCTCTGCAGGTGGCGGCTTTGCCTGCTGGGCCACAGCGCTGGCCCCAATAAATCAGTCTTTAACAACAACAAAGAGGAGGTTTTCTAAATACTGTTCTGATATAGACTTGTAGTACAATTCTGCCGTGGGCAGAGAACATACTGTGTGTGATCCCTGGTTTACGTTGTTGAGACGTGTTCTATAGCCCAGACTGGTCTGTCCTGCCGAGAGTGTGTACCCTGTCCCCGGGGATGCTCCGTGCGTGCGCCCGCTGTGACGTCCCTGGGCGGTGTGGTGTGGCTCTCGGGCAGCGTCACTCACTTCCTCTCTGCCTGTCCTCTCTGGTGTTGAGAGAGGGCTGTTACTGTGGGTTTGTTGCTCCTGTCAGGCCTTGTTGCGTGCGTGTGCAGCTTGTTGGGAAGTGCGTGTGCCTTTGAGGCTGTGTCCTCTGGATGAACTGGTCCCTTGAGGACACAGCGCCCCTCCCCCCAGTAGTCTGCTCTGGTGTCAGCGTGGCCACCGTGTGTACTTCCACCGTTCTACTGCTCACCTACCCATGTCTGTGTGCGAAGTGGCCTTCTCGTGGTAGGGCCTCGCACATCTGAACGTTCATCCGACAAGCTCTGCTTTCCAGTCGGAGTGTTTCGGGTGTTTCACTCTGCGACGGCTGTGCAGTCGCCTCTGGAGCTGTCGTCTTGCGGGCGGTCCTGCTGCCCCGTCCTTCGAGCCCCTCAGTCCCAGGTGTGCTGTGGTGTGACTGTGTCCTCTCCATCGTCAGCTCTGTGTAGTTAGGCTTCTCCCAGTGGTCTCTGGGTTGAGAACTGCACATCCATGTGCCACACTGCTAAGCGCCCACGCTGACTAGTGAGGCCCTCTACAGCCACTTCCCTCCCTCCGCGCTTCCGCTGCTTTTGTGAGGTCGACATTGACAGGGAGCCCTGAGCCCGTCGCCCGTGGGTCGGGCTGGGCTCGTGGCGGGAAGCTCGGCGGCTGGAAGCTGCTCCTGGCTGTGGATGGACTCCCGCTGTGTTAGCCAGCCGCCGTGTAACACTCTTCCCGAGGGGTGCA